CCTCTTTCCAATGAATCTGTAGCCTAGAGATCAAAAATAATCATCTTCCACCTCCCCAGTGTAGCAGCAGAAGTAATTTCCCACTGAGACCTGCTTCTGAGGACACAGCTGAGATGTTTTACCCCAGGCCTGGAAACCTCCACAGAGTTGCAAATACCTGGGCTTCAGCCACGAGCCAAGGTGACGCCAGCTCTCCCCACAGCCACGGCCATCCAGCCCACGGGCAACCCACACCCACACTCTCACATCACATCTCAGCAGGTATCACTGACAGGCATCACATCTTCCTCTGTCCCGACCAGATCCCAGCACCGAACAAGGACATCTCCAAGATATTCACCACTCCTTACTGATAGGTCTTGGCTCACTGAAGGGTGGCCAAGAGAAGAAATAAGGTTAATGCCCTCCTTCAGCCAACTTGGTGGCTTGGGGGAGGCTTGGACTCCTGCTGTGACCACAGGGAAAAGGATGGCTGCAAAGAGCCACCTGGCCATGTGCCTTGGCTCTCCTCCCTTGGTTCAACAGCACAGGCAGCAGTGAGCCACGACCTCGCTGTCTAGCCACTCTTTTCTGAGAGCAAAACAGGGAAGGTGGTGGCTGGAGAGAGAGGACCAAGGTCTTGTAGCAGCTGAAACTTGTCCCTAGAAGAGCTGACACGCTGGGAACTATTTGGGCTTTTTTAGTCCTTAGACCAGCGGTGCCAGCAGGTCAGCATGCTCTGCATGAAGTAGAAAAACTGCTGCAAGACTGATTTGTCTTAACACACTGACTGTCCTCCAAAAGTAAGACGGCAAATGCCATGGGGTGGGGCGCTGCGGGTGGATTTCACTGTTGGCTAAAACACTGGAACAACTGCATTAGGAATGGAACACGATGCGACAGGCTGGCAAGTGGGTTAGATGGCTGAAAAACCAGTAACCAGTACAGGATCAGCCAGGTTGAAGCCTCCACAGAGGGGATGTGCCTGGAGATGTGCTAATGATGAATGAAAACCACCCAGAAGAGTCCACGTATCTATGCAACTCCAAACAAATTTGCAGTTTTCCCTGCGTGCGTAGTGAAGCTTTGGTGCCAGAAGCCTTTAAGGAACATGACACATATCCACAAGCACTGACACATATCCACAAGCACTGCTTGGGAAAAAGAAAAAAGTCACTGAAACATCCATTCATTTTTTTAACCAGGCAAAAAGCCATTTACCACTCTCTAAACCAGTCCCCAGATCTATGTGCTCTTAACTCCCCAGCTGAGACAGGAGCTGTGCTGGCAGGCGACGGCAGCCTGTGCCACCGGACGCAGCCACAGTTCTCAGGCCAGTTGCTCTGCTTGCTTTCACTGGCAGCGGATTTAATTCCTGCCCTGGTTTGCAGCTTTTCCAGCATATTCGAGGCCTCTCTTCAGCCCTTAGTAAAACTTTGCTGTGTGAACTAACTGACTGCAGGAAGACCCGAGGACATTTTGTACTCATCCCCCTAATAAAACCTCTGCAGCTCACCTGCAGTCATGCATCTGCCACCAAGGCAGCGGCAGTATAACGTGAGCTAAGGTATGCCAAATGAACAACATTTCACCATGCCAGAGCCCCTGTTGCGTACAAACACCTGCAACAGCCTTGAAACTTGGGCAAAGCAGAACTCCTGTTCTGTTCACTGGTTTTTGCTTGAACACGCTACTGAAAGGCGGTAAAGGGGGACAGAGCAACATGCATCCAGCCCTATTTTTCATTTTCACTGTGAACATCAACGCCCCCAGTGAATACTCTACCCCATCAGAGCGTCTCCCAGTGCTTTGATTTCTCCTCCCCAGTCCTGTGCTCCTGGCTTTCAGTGCGATTGCTCACCTTTGCCAAATGAGCTGATTCAGTATTCAGTTACATGTCCATTGCTCCCTTTTTTTTTTTTAATCAAAGGGAAAAAAGGAGCCAAACTGGCACTTGATACTGAGTCCTCTTAATTGCAAAGGGGAGAAATCATCTGCAGCAAGTATGATGTACAGCAGCAGCAAGCACAAAATGTATAACCTGATGTACAGCAGTAGCTGAGCAGAGAGACACTCTCAAGCTCATTGGCTTCCTGCAGGATACCAAGGACTTAATCTTGAGTTTTGAAGTTTTTAAATGTCAAAGATGACAGAGCTCTGCATAATGGGAATAGTTTCAAGTGGAACTGGCAGCTGTGGCCCATCTCCTGGGCTCTGTATACGTAATCCTCCCAAAAAGGATCTTCAGCCTCACTTGACCAACAGAAATCAAGACACAGAACTTAAATGATTTCACAAGGCAAGTGAAAGAGGATGAAGACCCACCACGAGGCCATGTCAGCACAGACTCCCCGCCACAGCTTTCCCTTCTGGGCTGAGGCAACCTCTACAAGGAGGAAAGTTGTGGGCTGAGATGTCACGGAGTTAGAAAACGCAGTAAGTGATCAACCGATGTCCGGGCAGTGTCCTGCGGGACCACCCTGTGTGCAGGGAGCTGACAACAAACCTGACACCGAGCTGCTGTGGAAGCTCACAAAATTCCTGTCTCTTGCTACACAACGATGCCTGGATTAAGGTTACGTTCCTCCGTGCTGCATTTTATCACGCAGCCGCTATTTTGGTCAGAAAGTCAGCAAGCCCTTATTTGGGAAGCTGTCCCACTGAAGGGCAGCATGAAGGGCAGCGAGATGAACAGGCTGCTTCTGAAGGCAGGCCTGGGGGAGCTGCCTGGAGCCACAGGATGCCCAAATCTTCCCCTCTGCTTCTCGTTAACGTGCCAACATCCTTTTCTCAGCCCGACCCTTGCGTCGCGCTCTTTTCCCTCAAACCGCATGCTGTGGGTGAACTACTCTCATAACACACGCACTCTGGGGAAGACGCCAAGAGGGTTTAGAAATGAAGTCCCCCTTCTTAGATAGAAAAGCCTTAGTGCTAGAGATTTAAAGTGCCTAACTTAGAACAGGTTGGAGATCTGCAGACACACAGGTGAAGGTGCAGCAAGACAAACACAAAGTCCTCTGTTCAGAGGCTTTTTCTTTCACTCCTCTTGTCACAACACACATCTGCAGGAGACTGACCGCTTACACAGCTGGATCAGCCACTCCGCCACCTCCAACACCAGGAGCAACCCAAGGGGACATCTCCCCATGCTAGGTGTCTCTGCCAGCCCTGGCAAGGGCTGCAGGGGGCTGCCGGGCAGCTCTGGCCCAGTGGCCGAGGCTGCCAGGAGATGTGCACGCTAACCTGAAGCACAGCTACCTTATCTTGCCTTCGTAGACAAACTCGCTCAAGCAGGGCAGGCGCCAACCACACCGCTCGAGACCTCCGATACCCACAGGCACCCGGTTTCCACTGAGGCCAGTGGGATTTTAAGCAGTGTGCATCTGTCTCTGGATGAGCTACCACTTGCCAGAAAAACTCCATGGAGGATTAACACCACGAGGAACCTCTCGCCAGTTGATCTTCTGGCGTACCCGAGGGCAGCAGGGACCAGACAACCTTTTTGTCTTGACTATTTAGCAGATCCTACCTGGTGGTATGAACCCTGTGACTGGACACTCTCTCCAGCACAGCACCCCTCCTGACCAGCACGCTGCTCTCGCACAGCAATGAAGTTCTTTTGGCTGACAAACATCAACCT